CTTGTATGGCAGAAGATGTAGGACTCCTCTGTGCTGGTACCAGGAGGGTGAGTCAGTGGTTGTGGGACCGGAGTTGATCCTACAGACTACTGAGAAGGTGAAGATGATCCAGGAGAAGATGAAGACTGCTCAGAGTAGGCAGAAATCTTATGCTGACAAGAGGCGTAAGCCTTTGGAGTTTGCCGAAGGAGAACACGTGTTCCTGAAGGTGACTCCGACCTCTGGTGTGGGCAGAGCGCTGAGGGCACGGAAGTTAACACCGAGGTTCGTGGGTCCCTATCAGATAATACGGCGTGTGGGTCCGGTTGCTTATCGGTTGGCTTTGCCACCGTCTCTTTCAAACCTACACGATGTATTTCATGTGTCTCAGCTGAGGAAGTATATTCATGACCCTAGTCATGTGGTGGAGCTGGATAATGTACAAGTGAAGCCGAACCTGACTTTTGAAAAGTTGCCAGTAGCTGTGGTGGATCATAAGCTGAAGGAGCTGAGGGGCAAGTCCATTGCTCTGGTGAAAGTATTGTGGGATGCAGCTACTAGTGAGGCTACTTGGGAGGTTGAGCAGCAGTACCGGGAGCGTTACCCGTTTCTATTCCCAAGTAAGTATGTTTTCGGGGATGAAAACTCTTGTTGTTGGGGAGATTGTGAGACCCTACCCTTAGCTGACCACACTTCCCCTCCCAACTCTCACTCTAACTCTCCCTTTCACTCTCTTTTCTCCCTCCATTCTCATTTTGGCTGATTTCACTTTGGTTTCTTGGATTCAAGGTGGTGGTGTGGAGTGATTAAGGTTGCTAGCTGAATATTTGGGGTTCCTCTTCTTCTCCGACTCTTCTCTCTTCTCCGTTCCTCGATCGTCTCTTCCCGGAGGCTCGGATTTCTTCACCGAGGTAAGGGAAGTTAGTATTTTGCTGCGCTTTGGATATATATATATATATATATATATATATGAGAGAGAGAGTGTCAGTGTGGAGATGAATAAATAGATAGATTGAATCTTATAATTTATTTTGTCTTTGTTTCAATTTTTACAACCGACACTCTATGTTCTTGGCCTTTAATATTAGCATACTCATCAAGTTAATCACATGACTTCTTCCATAAGGATATGCCATGAATAATAAATTATGAACAAATTAAATATAACTAAAATAAGGTGACTTGTATTTTTTGGAGCTCCAGTCCACACAAAAATTGGGAAATAAGAAAGAGGAGGCTATAAATTATATCAATGATATGATAAAGAACTCTCATAAGCAAATTTATTTGGCTCCTTATATTGACCGGTAAGTACATATTTTTTATTGCATTTAATATATGTAATTTATATATGTATTGTTTAACTAATTATGGCTCAATGTAGAAATTATTGGCAATTGTTTGTTCTTTGTCCTATGAGTAATATTGCTGAATAGTTTTGTTCTTTGCATTATAAGCCCACTACATGTCAAAAATTTAGTCAAAAGGTAAACTTTAATTTGTAACACATGTTTTAATTTTATGCTATTTATTATAAAATTTTAATTATGTAACTTACGTTCATTTTATTTTCTTTACTGTTGTGGCTGTGTATAATGTCATAGTGATAGATCTATTGCACTATCAAAGAACTTAGAATAGATTTACCCCATGGTAAGTAAGTGATTTGTAATTAAAGTCAATGTGCCTAACAAATGTCTTTTATTATCTTAATTAAAAAAATTACTTATACTACTCAATTTGATATTCATTTTAGAGTTATAAACCACAAGGACATTATGAATGTGGATACTATGTCATGAATTGGATGTCAGAAATAATTGAAGGGAGAGTAACAAATGATTAGAGTGAGGTACATTAAAAATATTGTTAATTTCTTTTAATGCTTATTATGATGTAATTAATATATGATGTATATATGTTGCAACTTCTTGAAGATGCTACACCATTGGAGGAAACCAAATTGGAAGACATTCAAATTTATTGGGGAAATTTCATTTTAGAAAAATTTAGAAATAAATCATATTGAAATGTCTAGTATTACATATAAAATTTAGAAATAGGTGAATGTGGCTTCAGCATTAGGCTACCAAGTGCATGTCTAATGTAGTGTGACCTAATTTTTTTTAGCTTCTTTTCTCCTTATAAGAAAAAACTCTTCTTTATTAATCTTAGATTGGCCTCTCTTGGTTTCTGAGTATATGGCTTCTTTAGTATTATATATTATATAATGATAATGATGTAACTGAGCCATTCCTATAATGATAAGGATCATAGATTCGCCTCTTGGTTCATGCTAGATTTTGATATGGCTTCTCTAACATTGGATAATTGAATAAGTTTTATTGAATCAATTTTTACAAGTTATTTATAATTGAATCAATTTTATTTTAAAAATTATATTTGTTAAAAAAAATACAATCTACAATGGTTCTACGTAAAAAGTGTTTATATATATGTACATCTAAGATGATTTTATGAAAACTGACTTAGATGTATGTGTACATTTAAGATGGTTTTTTACTAAAAATTGACTGAGATGAACACATACATCTAAGTCGATTTTTACGTAGTCAACGTAGATATGTGTATTCATCTATATCGTCCTCATATAAGTTGATTTTAGAACCGATGTAGACATGCCAAAATAACCGACTTAGAATACATTATTTCTAGTAGTGAATATTTTGCTTAATTAAGCTAAAAATAAATTAAATATGATTTATTTTTTGTTTACTCTTAATTATCCATATATATATATATATATATATGTAAGAGAGGGAGAATGAATGTGGAGATGAATAGATAGATTGAATCTTATAATTTATTTTGTCTTTGTTTCAATGTTTACAAACGACACTCTATGTTCTTTGGCCTTGAATATTAGAATACTCATCAAGTTAATCCAATGACTTTTTCCATAAGGATATGCCATGAATAATGAATTATGCCATCTCTTCTAAGTACTATATTTAAATTTGTTTAATGAGCTTAACAAAGATTCTACTACTTATCTTTGTTATAAAATATCAATTTATTTTATTAAAGATATGAACATTTTCATATTACTTTTATCTTCTGTCAATGCATACATTTTATTTAACGACTGTAAAGGCTATAAAATATAACTAAAAGAGGTAGCAAATCAACTCTCACACCCTAAATGCCCCTTCACAACATGTTCTCAGGACAAATAAATATGAGAAATAGTAATTTGGGATAGTCGAAAGTTTTCTTTAACTAGCTGCGAAAATAATATATGAAATACACTTCTAAAATATTATTAAAATATCATAAATTAAAAATATTTATTGATAATATAATTTAGTTACATGAAATATATTTACTTATTATAAACTTTAATTAATTATATAAATATGCAGATTGAAATGGAAGATACAGTAGCGTAGAGAACCGTAGGATTAACTAATAAGCATGAGTTGGGTAGAGGAACTGGGATGTGAGTGGCCAATGAGCGGAAAGAATCTATAAAAAAGAGGAGTTGGCGTATGGTGGGATGCAGAGGAGCAGAGCCAAACCCTCACCCGTCCCTCACTGCTCTGTCACTCGCTCATAGCCCGTAGCCGTCCGATGAAATGGAAACAACGGTTAACTGAATCCGTTGCAGGCGTCGCTCCCCCTTCCAATTCCATCACCACCGTCGTCATTCCCTTCCTTCTTTTTTTTTTCTTCCCAATTTCCTTTTTCTAAAAACATTATATTCCTTTTTTTCTTTTTCTTTTTTAAGACATGGAATTGGCAATGAAGGTGGCCGAGGCCGTCCATGTGCTCAACCACGATACCCAATCCTGCAACCGCGTCGCAGCCAATCAGTGGCTCGTTCAGTTCCAACAGACCCACGCCGCCTGGGACGTCGCCACCGCCATCCTCGCCGCCGATCGCCGCCTCCCCCTCGCCTCCAATTTCGAGGTCGAGTTCTTCGCCGCGCAGATTCTCAAGCGCAAGGTCCTCTCTCTAGCATTATAGAGCCTTGTTTGTTGGATGCTTATGGATTGTTATGTATGACACTTTGGATTTCGTAACTGAGGTTTCTACTTTTACTCATCGTCGTGGTGTGTGTTAAGTGAAGTGATTTAGTTAGGTAATCGAAGTGACGAGAAGATTTTTCTTCTTCTCAATTGAAAAATGTGCTCAGCGTTTGCGTGTGTGCACTGGCACTGTTAAATTGCGCTTCGGACTCGATTTTATTAATTAATAATATAATTTAGTCAGTGCTGCCAGTAACTAATGTCTGAAGGTGTGAAGCTTGATTTTCCCTGAGAAAAAATAGAAATCAACGTAAGCTTCATGATATGTTGGTGATTATTGTTACATGTTTGAAATTACAGATACAAAATGAAGGTTATCTACTGCAGTTAGGAGCTAAGGATGCTTTGTTAAATGCCCTTCTTATTGCAGTCAAAAGATTCAGTACTGGTCCACCTCAGGTGCATTTTCTTTTACGATTCTGCTGATGCTCTTTTCAAGGGAGATGCTATGTAGACATTAGTTGTCTTATAGATGGATTCATGTTGAAAATACTTTGATTTAAACTTGCTCTTTGTTATTGTCTTGACAGCTTTTGACACAGATCTGTCTTGCACTCTCGGCTCTTGTACTTCAAGTTGCTGCACATGGAAACCCTATTGAGCAGCTTTTTTACAGTCTACGGAATCTGCAGAGCCAAGATGATGGCAATATTGCTGTCCTGGAGATGCTCACTGTCCTTCCAGAGGAAGTCGTTGACAACCAACGTATTGATTCTAAGATTAGTTCATTACACAAAAGCCATTATACCCAAGAGGTTTGGGAACTTTTTCTTTGATACATTAATCCATGCCATGTTTTTCTGTGCATCCTCTCTCTCTCTCTCACGTTGACTTCCCACACTCTTTTTATGTCTGTTTTACAGCTTCTCTCCCATACACCTATGGTTCTTGAATTCTTGCTGCAGCAGTCTGAAATAAATTTTGATGGTTCTGTGCAACAACATGAAAGGAACAGGAAAATTTTACGTTGCTTATTGAGTTGGGTGCGCCATTATACTGATGACTCATTTGGTTTTTGCAATTTTGCTATGGTGCATACTTTTATGTTGCACTATTTTTAGTCATGGATGCCCGTGGTTTGTTTTCAGGACAATATATTTTATGCTTTGGTTCTCTTCTGTTTTATTTTAACATGAATATTCATCTATCCCAAGCTTCATCAAAAGCGTTCTGCTGTCTCTTGAGTTTATTCCTGCATGGTCTCCTTGTGTTCAGGTTAAAGCAGGTTGCTTCTCTGAGATTTCTCCAGGAACATTGCCAGCTCACCCACTTCTAAATTTTTTGTTCAACTCATTGCAGGTATTCCAGTTCTCATGCACTTGATTCTTAAGATGAGTATTTGTGACCACCCAAGATTAATTTATATCACATTCTCTGTGTAGGTTCCTTTATCATTTGATCTAGCCATTGAAGTTCTCGTTGAACTTGTGACTAAACAGGAGGTATGGTTGCCAATTTGATGAACACCTTTCATACTCATCAGATCAGTATTGATCTGTTTGGCTTTAGTGCATGTCTGTAATTATTTGAAAGATGTCATTGTACTGCTAGACTACTACCATGTTCTTGATGTACTTTCTCCTTCTTTAAATTTTATGATGTGTTCTAGACTTTGAGTTATCTACTAGATTTTGGAGTTGTTAGGTCCTTAAAAATTATCATATGTAAATATAGTGATACCAGTATATTTAAAGTTTGATGCTGTGCTCTCATACTATCTATATTCCTTCAATGGATGTGTGGTTGGCCTATAATGTTCAAATAGAAAAGTCAAGCAACTGGATTTTTTATTGTTAAGGGTTTAGGATAGTCTAGGTCCAACATAACAGTTGAAAATTGTTTTCATAATCATATTATTGGTACAAAGTATTCATCGACTTTGTCAATGACTAATACATAACAGCTGAATTGATGGTTATTTAGTGGCATCTTATGCTAGGGGTTGTTTAGCAAGCTATAAGTTGGGGTACGAAGGTTCTTACAGCAAATTCCTGAAAGATGAATCAGTAAATGATGAAGAGCCTGGAGAACAAGTCTAGGGAGAGGCTTTAAATTGAGGAAAACATATTAGAAATTGAAGAAAAGAGCAGTGATACAAACCTGCCTACAACTAATGCATACCTTATGCATCATCCTTAGTAATTAGTTGCATAGCAAGATCGATGCAATGCTATAGCAATACTATTCCCTTTTGCTGTGCCTCTCATAAATATGCTGGTTCCCTAGTAGAGTCCTGCTTCTTTCTCTTTTTTTTTTTTTCTTTCTTTTTGAAGTTCATCTTAAATTAAAGCAAATAACAAGTATAAGGCAGGAAGTTGGACAATTGACCTTGTTTTATTGGTCTATATAACTGTTATTTTAGCTCATACAACTGAAAACACAGTAGGAGCAGAAAATCTATGTACTTTGAATAGTCAGTTGGATTTACCTTTACAAAGATTATACTCCGGTTGTGACAATTGATTTTATTTTTTTCCATGTGTTTCTGAATCACTATATCTGTCTCCTCTCCCCACCTTTCAGTTTTGCTAGTATGTATATTTCAAAATTGTTTTCCCAGTCCCACTATACTTTCTTTTTGCTATTTGTGATAAAGACAGACAGAAACATTTTTTTTCTTCTTTTCATTATTACTATTGTATGAGGCTAGAACTTTTCTGGATTTTTTGTGTTTCATTTTTTCTAAATAATTCCGGGTTGAATTTTAAAAGTTTACCAAGTTAAACTACTAATTTTTTCCTCACTTATTGTATTTATATGTATAATGGCTCTGAAAATGAATGATATATTGATTTTAATTTGGGTTTTCTTTAGGGAGTGCCCCAAATTTTGTTGTGCAGAGTACATTATCTGAAGGAAGTACTTCTTTTTCCAGCTCTTACTAGGGGAGACATGAAAGTAATTGGTGGCCTTGCTTGCTTGTTATCAGAAATTGGGCAGGCTGTAAGTATTTTAAGAATATTTGAGTTCTCTGGGATTTCCAAAATCCTTGTTGTGGATACCTTTTTATTTGCTGTCTACTGGTCTTTTTTGATGGCTTTGTTAATGTAAAAATTCATAGTAATGGTGACTATTGTTTATTTAAATCTTAGTTGTTAGATATTCAAGAATAACTTAGTTACTTGTGGTTACTAACTTACTATCATTCATTTAGTTTTTCTGTTGCTTTGTGCAAACCAAACAATGCATGCCTCATTTAACCTGTCAACTTGTTATATGTATGCTAGGCTCCGTCTCTAATTGTAGAAGCAAGTGCAGAGGCCCTAGCCCTAACAGATTCCCTATTGAGGTAATCTCAACTTTTTATATATTAAATATGTTAATAATTCCTCATATTTAAGATAAATTTGTTTTTAATCTCAAATTTAAAATTGGTCTTTTTAGTCTCTATAATTTCAAAAAAATTTATTTTAGTCCTTATACTTAAATTTTGTTAAGGAATATGTCAATACTGTCACGTAAAATATACATATTGATGTATTTGTTAGTGAAAATATCAAATTAAATCCTACTGATATTGCATAACTTCTCAGTCTGTCACTTTCATTGTTTTGCATATTTCTAATCAGCTTGCTTTCATATAGCATATTATTATAGATTTGGTTGGTGTGAGATTAAACTGTTGAATATGTTAACAGCTGCGTGGCATTTCCAAGTGAAGATTGGGAGATTGCAGACTCAACTCTGCAGTTTTGGTAATGCAATTTTATTAAGGCTTTACATAACTTGTTTATTGGGGAAATTGTGCTTGGTGCCCTTGAGCTATATGTATTATATATAAGTACTTTAGATAGGGATGAGGATCTCATGATCCTTGTTATGATCTCTCAAGCCCCCACCCTCCCGATCCTAGATAAAATCTCGATTTTAATAACATTGGAACCAACAACTGGCAATTGCTCTACACGATTTGTCTCTCAACCTTTTTAGTCAGCTTTCCAACACTCACCCTCACACTCAAGGAGAATAAGAGATCGAGGAAGGTGAAAAAGAGAGAACGGGGTTGGCTTACATTTGCTAGGTTGAGACATGAGGAAGTTGGGATTTATGTTTTTGTAATTTGAGAAATTGTTTCAGATTTGGTTTTTTCTATTGTAACAGATGCTGAATGCTGTATTCTATGGGGTAGGAGGCTTGTGTCTGTTGTAAACTAGTATGGGTTATATAAGAAAACCTTGGGTACCATGTGCACTTTCCCCTTGTTTATTTAGTTTAACAATCTCTAATCATGTCAATTGTTGTAGATATGATGTATGTGTTTTATCTCTATGTTGCTCTATCTGTGTGCCCTATCTCCTTTTTGAACCTCTTTATGGTATAGTTTGTTGTAGCCATTTATTCTCCTAATCATCTCAACTATTTGGTTGTTTTTCATGTTTCTAACTGATTACTGAGATATGATACCGCATTTTCTCTTCTATGGGAATGTTCATGTTAGAATATCTTATATATTCAAGATAGCATATCGTATATATATAGTAGAATGAATTAGGAGCAATCTTATTAACTAATATAAGATTGTAGCTTTGTATTAGGATTGAATCATTGTAAGTAATATTATTGTAATATGTGTAAAGACAGTGTGTGTATTGTCCAAAGACACGGCTTATCCTTAATCAGATTGTTCTAGAATTCTTAAGTTTGTATCATAGTAGGTTTCATCTTGTCTCTCCCGTCAAAATCCTAAATCAGCTGCACCCTAATACTGACATGCCTATTCTTCAACGACATTTTCCAATCTTCCACCAATCAACTTTCTGGTGAAATCAAAATTTCATGTTCGATTATGAAACCCTTGAGATTAGAAATGCCAGGTCTTGATTGTCCAAACCTTGAAGTTTTACTTCCGTTAGCCTCTCATGCACTCTAACTTAAGTCCACTACACCTTGAACATTTTCGCTGGTGTACGAGGGAGTCTGAGCCACTTTTATGATGTCACTCTTCCATAGGCTCATGTAAAATTACCTGTATGAGACTTCCCAAGTACCTTTGGCTCCTATCTTGGCCATTTCAGGGGTTGGAAATGTGGGTCTCATGATTCTAGTGTTCTATGAGCATCAAAGATTTGTTCTCTGGACTCTACTATTACTGCATGTCGCATGATCAGATTTTCCTAGTCCTTTTTTGAAGTACTCCAAGTGTTTCTCTTAACCTTTTGGTGTTATACTTTAATTAAGCATAATGATATTTTTGTAGTGTTTAGAATTTATCTGAGGATGTTCTTACTGATTTTTTCTGCTAAAAACATTGTGGTGTTTTGTGCTGATATGCAGAGACTAGGAAGCGATTATGTGCCCTTTAGCTTCTCAACTTTTTAATTATTTTTTTATCCTCTCTCTTTGATGATGTCTTGATAACACTGATCATAAACACAAAATATCTTGTCAACAGGTCCACTCTTGCAAGCTATATACTTGGTATTGATGAAGATGGTGCAAAAAGTAGAAAACACGTGCAAGATATTTTTTCTCCCGTGTTCTCAACATTACTTGATTCGCTGTTGTTGCGTTCTCAGGTTTATTCTTGTCTATTTGCATTTTTCCAGTATGGGTGTGGATTAATTCAATGTTGCTCTCTCTCTTTTTTTGTGTCTTTTTTGGGGTGGGGGGAGGATTCTATTTGCATTTTTCTAGCATGGACATTTTCTACTTTAAACATAATCTTTAAACTGGTCACTTTTAATTAAAAGAGAGTGAAGGAAAATTTCATAGATTACAATTGGTTGTTTGTTCTAATCGATAGTTCATATTTGATGAATATCGGATCTATTATTTGTCCCATTGAAAATATCAACCTAGCACTTATGAAACAAAACTTTACTATGGTATTCATTTTTGTTTGTGAGCATAACCTTTATCACGCATGTAGCTTCACTGATTGGTGTTGTTTTGTTGATAATCTTTTGTGAGCTTCCTTGTATTAAAAAATTGAATCTTATAAGTAAATTGCTTTTCTTTCCCTTTGGGTGCTTAACAGGTGGATGATTCTACATACAATGATGAGGGAAGAGTAGTTGATTTGCCTGATGGCCTTATTCATTTCAGGATGAACCTAGTAGAGCTTTTGGTGGATATATGTCACCTGTTAGGCTCTGCTACATTTATGCAAAAGGTGCTTTTGGAAATTTTGATTTATTTTCTTTCATTTTTGACTTAGTTTCCCGGGCCTGGTTTTATGTCTTATACCTTTTATTTGGTATCAGTTATCTGATAACTATGATAATCACTAATTGTGAATCTGTTTGATCATGTTGGGTTATTATGAATGGATACTAATGATAGTGATAGATAAAATGAAAATTTCATCCAAACTTTTGGTGCAGTTGAATTTGAAATCTTATAAGCTTGCTTACAATGGGAAGCTGATCCAATAAGTTGTTGATCTATATCCTGATATCTCCCAGAAGAAAAATAATATCGGTGCATATTTTTCTGAATAAAAGAACACTAGCAGGAAGGAGACAAAAGGCAAAATGGGAAGGTTTTCTCATATTGAACAAAAAAGAGAAATAAAGCAAGGCTGGAAGAACCAATAAATTAACAATAGACTTGGAATAAGAGGAAAAGTGAATATTATATTTTGATAATTCAAAAAGTACAACGAGGATCACTATTATACATATACAGCATTGATCATAAAGACTATGCCAGAATTACAGACATCAAATTAGATCTGATTACTACAAATAAGGAAACCTTACCAATCAATCCTAATAATTAAATATATAACAAAAGAAGTAATGCACATGCTTCATATTTCACACACGATACAAGACTCCCCCTCAAGCTGTTCAATAATGTTAATCATTCCTGAATTGGCTATTCATGGATATTCCTTTCTTTGCTTCTATGTTCCCCCTTCCATTTGATTCACCACCCAATAATAAAGCAAAACCAGGCACCTATCTCCTGACTCATCCATTTTTGAATATTTATGCTGCACAGTTAGTTGTATTAAATTGTTATCATTGCCTGTAATTTGGAAAAAAAAATTGCAAATTATTTTACTGGAAAGTTTATTCCAGTTTTTGAATGGAAGATAGTTTGTTATTCAGTTTCAGGCTATATTCTAGTTAATGAATGTCAAACAACTATTGATCATTATCATTAGTGCATCATGTCAATTATTTAGTCAGCAAACTCCCAATTTCTCAATTTGAACTTCATTCTATTTACAGCTCTTTATTGGTGGGTGGGCATCTCAGAATCTATCAATCCCATGGAAGGAAGTGGAAAGCAAGCTATTTGCTCTTAATGCTGTAAGTATCATTTTCTGCTTTCGCTTGGGATTTTTTATTGGCCTGTTAATTATAGCCTTCAGACTGGTGACATCCAGGTCTTATTGTTGACACTTTTGTTTACCGAAAACTAATGCACTATTATACCTTTTAAATTTAGATCATAGCTCAGTCATGTTATACCCATGTTATTTTTGACCAAGATATAGCGAAGTTTCATTTCAATGTAATTTGCATTTAATTTGTTCTGTTTGGAGTTAGTTGTTCTGATTAGAAGTTAGTTGCTTTTATAATAATTCGTTTGATACAAATCTCTTTTCTGATGTCTCTTTACCGAGTCATCCAGCAATATATAGCTGTCTCTCTTTGTATCCATATTAGTGTTGAATGAATATTTTTCATAAGAGAGTACTGTCTAGAAATCTCTCCTTTATTTCTCTTTTTCTATTATGGAATCAGAGCCTTTGCAAAATGTGGAATTGTTCATCGCCTTACATGCCCATACACATGTTCAAAATGACTTTGTTGAGAGAAAACAAAGACATGTAGTTGAAACTGGAGTCACTCTTCTCACCCAATCCAGCCTTCCTTTTCATCTTTCGGATCATGCTTTTCTAACAACTTAGAGGAAGTTTAACAACCTTTGGGCTTTGAGGCAGCTGATAGTAAGTCTTTGGTGTCCAGACTACACAAAGCAATATATAGTCTCAAACAGGCTCCACAAACAATAATTTTATGTAATATTGGTTTTAATGTGATCCCTCGTTTTTCACCCGTATCATTGGTTCTCATCAAGTTATTGTACTTGTATATGTTGATGTCATAATAATCACATGAGATCATCTGCCTCAATAATCAGTTCATTGTCAAACAACTTGGAGATCTAGACTATTTTCAGGGAATAGAAATTAATCATCCACAAAATGGTTCTCTATTTTTTTCTCAAACAAATCTACTGTTCAAAGCCAAAATGCCTAATGCTAAAGGGATTTCAACACCTATGGTAGGTAACACTAAAATCAGTAAAAATGGTGCTATTATTTTGCTGATCCTTCTTTTTATCACCCTATTGTTGGTGCACTTCAATATGCTACTATAACCAAACCATAAATTATTTTTGCTGTCAACAAAGCCTGTCAGTTTCTCTCTCAGCCTCTTGAAACTCATTGGACTGCAGTACAGTAAAAAGAATTCTGTGCTACTTCATGGTCTACTTCTTAAACCTGGATATCAACCATTCACTCTAACAGCATTCTCAGATGCTGACTGGGGTTTAGATCCTGATGACAGAAAATCAACCTCTGGCTCATGTATCTCTCTTGGTCCTAAATCCTAATATTGTATCTTGGTGATCAAAGAAGCAAACACTTGTTGCAAGATCTAGCACTAAAGCAGAGTATAAAAGCCTTGGAAATACCTCTTAAAAGAACTTAAAATTCCTCACACCACTCCTGTCCTATTATGTGACAACTTAAGCACTGATTCACTGTCGCGCCATCCTATTCTGCATGCTAAAACAAAGCACATGGAGCTTGACATATTCTTTCTGAGGGGGAGATTTAAACAAGAGTCTCATTGTCCAGCACATTCCAGCAACAGATCAAACAGCAGACATTCTTACCAAGCCTCTTGCTTCTCAAAGATTTCTAACATTAAGAGACAATCTTAGAGTAGTTGATGAATTTTCTGTGACTTAACCTCTCTGACTCAACCACCCTATGTTTGAGGGGGGAATATTAGAGATATATCTAAGTTTCATTTCAGTGAAATTTGCATTTCATTTGTTCTGTTAGGAGTTAGTTGCTTTTGTAATAATTAGTTTGTTACAAATCTGTTTTCTGATGTCTCTATACTGAGTCATCCAGCCAGCTATATATAGCTGTCTCTCTTTGCCTCCAGATTAGTGTTGAATGAATATTTTTCATAAGAGAATACTCAGTCTAGAAATCTCTCTCCTTTATTTCTCTTTTTCTATTAATGAAAACACTTTCTCCAGGTTGCTGATGTCATCATACAGGATGGCCAAAGTTATGATTTCTCTGTAGTTATGCAGTTGGTGACCATGTTGTCCACTAAACCTTCTGATGGCGTGAACGGTTTCATTTGCATTGTGAGTTATATTTGAACCCAATTTCCTCTGTTGGAAGCATTTAGTTCTAAGCAGTATTAGCTCTATTTTATTGTCCATTCAAAAGTGTACTTTTATTTTAGGTATACAGATCTCTAGCAGATGCTGTTGGTTCTTATTCCAAGTGGGTGTCTACTTTTAAGGAAAATTTTAGAGCCTTGCTGTAAGTACTACAAAACTCCATTTTTCCATGGCATTCATGATTAATGGATTAATTAGTTTTTTTGTCTCATTTTATTATTTAAATTACCTTGAGGCTTGAGCTCATTTATGTAAATAGATATATTTGATCAGGGTTTCAGATTTGTTTACTTAAACCTAAATAACTGTGTTGAACTTGGTTAACTAATTGCTGATTGACAATTCTCGGTATTCATATATTCATGTGTGCTACAAACCTTTCTACTTTCAGATTATTTCTTGCTGTTGGGATTTCAGAACCACTATCTTCAAATGCGTGTGCATCTGCCTTGCGTAAAGTCTGTGAAGATGCTTCTGTAGTAATTTATGAACCTTCAAATTTGGAAATTTTAATGTGGATAGGAGAGGTGGGTTACTCTGTGCTGGTAGTAGAGTAAATATCTGGATGATAATATCGATTATTAGGTTCTATGATGCATAGTGTGCATGATTATCTGTTGATGTCATGCTTTTTCTCTATATGTTTGATACTTTTGTTACCATCTATGCAATATGTACATGGTTAAAGATGCTCAGAGTCTTAATGTAAATCAAAGTTATTGGATTTGGTTTTTTATACAAATCTCTAACTTTTCAGATCAGTATATGAAATCCTTTTGGTACATGATATATGACGTCTTTCTCAGATATCTGACTGAATTATGGATTCACCTTTGGCCATTAATTTGTTCTTGTTGCTGTAGGGTTTAGAGAAGTGGCATTTGTCTTTGGAAGATGAGGAAGAAGTCATGCATGCAATAAGTCTGGTCCTTGGTTCTGTTCCCAATCGAGAATTAAAGAATAACTTATTGGCTAGATTGCTTTCATCTAGCTATGAAGCTATTGGGAAACTTGTGAGCCTTCTTTGTCCCATCTTGTTTACTGATTTTGACTGTGTGATGCTTACTTTGACCAGCTCTAGTAAGCTAGTTGTTTCAACAACATTCTATCAGCATTTTGTACTGATTCACCTGTAGTTGTTCTTAAAGATTTTTCAATGAAATCAAAATTTTCTGAATATTATTTTGTATGTGAGGATGAGAAGATAAATGTTTGCCTTTGATTCTGATAATATAGTGCATATGAATTTTTGGCTAATTGTTATTGTCCACCCTGTTCTGAATTTTATTTATTTTCTCAGTAGAAATAGAATAACTAAGGTGGCAAAGGAAAATTAAAGGCACATATACAATGATTCTTGACTTGGTTTCTTGTTATATGACGATTACGGGTTCAGCTCATGTTCCCTGAACTGAAATGTTTTTCTTGTCTCAACTTATAGTATATATACTATTTCTTAAGGGAAGAGCATCTGGTGCTTAACATATAAATAAGTACCCATTTGTCTTTGCTGTGAAATTCCTGATTTGTTGAAAACAAGAACTTAATAAAAAAACATTATTATAAAGAAATAATATTGTAATTTTTTTTTGTTCTGCTACTTCTTTTGCTTTCTAGGAAAGCCATCACTTTATTGCTTCTCTTTAACAACCTCAATTTTACTGTGGCCATAAAGTTCAAAAATGATGTTTGAAAAAAAAAACACTTAAAAGTAGCTTGTATTGATATCCCAGCACAGCCAAACAGTTGAATTATGAATGCTTTCTGCAGTTAAACATTTAGATTGTCCATAATATTTGTTGCATGAGTTGAAGAAATTGTATCTATTGCCTGCCACTGTGGGGAATGTGGGGAAAAGAAATAGTTTTTAGCTTTTTCTATAAATTTCTGGATGCATTTGTTGAAGAGAATTTTCTGTGTAATGTGTTTTTGAATTGATATCCCATCACAGCCAAACAGGAGAATTATGAATGATTTCTGCAGTTGAACATTTAGATTTTTCATAATATTTGTTGCACGATTGAAGAAATTGCATCTATGACTGTCACTATGGAGAAAAGAAATAGTTTATGATCTGCTTCAACTTTTTCCATTACAAATTTCTGGATGCATTTGAGAGCATTTTCTGTGTAACGTGCTTTTTGAATTGGTGGATCTCTCCCTGCATTTTTTCAGGTTGATCCAGAGATCAGCCTTTCTCTGAAACAGAGTCCAGCTTCTTATACACAAGTTCTGAATGCTGCTTCTAGAGGGTTGCACAGGTATGCTGGTAATTAGTATTGTTTGGGATGTGCTGTGTTAACCTTCAACCAAATAAATTCATTTTACTAGATGAAAGGTTGTCAGGTTTTCTTATTTATCACGTTTTGTAAAATCTAGTTATCTATCAGTCTTTGTCCTTTTTAATTTTGTCTCCATTTCAGTTGTTTACAGATAATACCCCCCCACCCCCGCTTTTCTCTGTCTTTCTTGAATATTTGCTCTATAGTAGATGATTAGCTCAATACTCCATCCATCAGCCTCTAGTTGCGCCATGATGCTTTTCGACTGTTGAAAAGCTTCTGTAATTGCGGAACCCTAGTGTGCCTTAGTTGCAGCTTCTTTGGGGGCTACCTTTATTGCTACCTCATGGGTGGTGGTTTAATTCCACATACAAACTAGTTTTTTGGAGTTCAGTTTAGGCTAAGCCAAATTCTAAGATCAACAATCAATATAAACACTTCCGTTTCTCTATGTTTCCAAAATTCAAGTTTCCTGCAGAGGCAGCGGAAGAAAAAAATAATTTTAGTGATACCTTTTATCTAGACACTATAAATCTCCCACTGTTATAAGTCTTGCTTATGCTCTATATTTTGCACACAGAATAGGTTATTACTTGCAGGATTGAGTTCCTTTCCTCATAACTTGTTATACTTGTTCCTCTTCACTGGTATTTGGCCTTTCTGTATTTGACGGTATAAGTTTGTTTGGTTGTTCATTTCTCTTATTTATAATCTTTTAAATTCAGAATGGGAACTGTATTCAGTCATCTTTCCATATCCGTGGCAACTGAACCTGCTGCAGATGACTCAATACTTTCACTGCTAAGGGTTTTCTGGCCCATTTTGGAGAAAATTTTTGGCTCTGAGCATATGGAGAATGGCAATTTATCTGTAGCAGCTTGCCGAGCTCTTTCACTAGCTGTTCAATCTTCAGGTTTACCCACTTGGACACATTTGTTGACAGTTCATAGGTTTCCTCTTGTGATAAAAATATATATTTTTTTTAATGTGCAGGTCAGCATTTTGTGACCTTACTGCCCAAAGTGCTGGACTGGCTCTCGACAAATTTTGTTTTGTTTCAAAGTCATGAATGCTATATAAGAACCGGTAGGGATTTTTTATGATATCTCTTGTTCATTTAATACCCTGTTATTCATGTTTGAGACACTTGTAAGTTGTAACTGTACTAGTTGAAGTGATTGTTAAATCTTAATGACTTTGGCAAAGTACTGGGACATCAATACTTAGTGAAAATAAAAACTTGTGATTTTAGCTGGTATTTACATAAAGGCTTATGCCGAATCAAGAAAACCTTATTTGATGCCGTAACAGTCTTGTGATTGTTTCCATATTCTGATAGTGTTATTGTGCTTGTTGCACTGAAGCTTTACTAATTTCCTGATTCAAACAATATTTTCAGCTTCCATTGTCATTGAAGAATTTGGTCACCTAGAGGAGTACGGACCTTTATTTGTCACTTTGTTTGAAAGATTTACTCATGCAGCTTCTGTAATGGCCCTAACTTCCTCCTATATATGTGACCAAGAACCTGACTTAGTGGAGGCCTACACCAATTTTGCATCAACATTTATCCGATCCTGTAACAAGGTCTTTTTTATTCTGTTTGCCTTTGTTTTATGGTATCCACTTATCCAGAGTCTTAAGTGAGGTTGAAGAAACTAGTTTGAATTTTTTTATTAATATTTTGGTTAGATTTATTTGCGGTTTCAAAAATGATGTCTGCATATCTTTACCCAATAGATGATGATGTGTCACAGGATGCCCTGTCAGCTTGTGGTTCTCTTCTTGAAGTTTCTATACAAAAGGCAGCTATTTGTTGCACAGCCATGCACCGTGGTGCAGCACTTGCTGCAATGTCATACTTGTCTTGTAAGAAAAGTTTATTTGCTTTTGTTGTTTTCTTATTTGTTTTAAATGTAAAAACCCTTTCTTCTGTGGAGAGGAAATGATGCAAAAGTTAAAGTATAAAAATGTAAGAAACTGTAAAATATTGTGAACCGTCTATGAAAATCATGTAGCCAATTGCAACATTCTACTAAATTATACAATAGTGATGTTAATATTTTTTGACTTTGTAGTTGCCTTCTATTTATATGCACAGTTAATTTTATTTTTTATTTTAATTACCATAGGTTTTTGTAACTTTGGTGTGATATTGAATAGAGTAATTTGTTCATATTTTTTAGTGTTACTGTTAGATGATCTCTCATTTTTATTTCATTACTTGTAGTTCATGGACTCTTATTTTCCTTACTCTTCAGGTTTCTTAGATGTCGGCCTTGTCTCTTTGTTAGAATGTATGAATTCTATTGCTGAGGATTCATTCAACGTCACAGCCATTCATGTCATATCTCACAGTGGTGAGGGGCTTGTTTCTAATGTGGTGTATGCTTTACTCGGTGTGTCTGCAATGTCACGGGTAAATCTCTTAACTTTCTTTGTAAGTGAATTTATTTAATATTCTCAAGAGCAAATAAATGTATTTTTATGACTTCATGTGATGAAGTAGAAGCAATGGGAAATATAGTAAACTAAGGAGAAACTGATTCTACTATGGTGAAGCTTAGATACTTTATTATCCTTAAGAAATCATTCTCTGGCTGGAACCTTCCCTTTTCTTTAATAATGATCTTATTTGCCCACCAGGATTATTCAATATTTTCTGTGTAGGACACTTAGGACTTGTTTGAATAAATTTCTTTATAAGCACATCTAGGAGAAAAAAATAGGAAGGACAAATAAATAAACTTTTCTATAAGCTATAATAAGCTTATGCATAAGCTATTTGTAGAAACACTTATTAACTTCTCCAAAAACTTAAATTTAACATGTGCATAAGCTAGTTTTATTTATGGAGAATTTCATTTCATTTTTTCTACCTATTTTTTTTCCTCCTAGAAGTGCTTATAAGTTTTATTTAAACGTGCCCTTAGTGAACTAAGGCTTTAACATCTAATTTTTATTAAGGGAAAAAATAAAGTTTCTTATAGTTCTACAATTCACAAAAGTGAGAATAAGGCCAAGAAAAACAGTTTACATTTTAAAAATAGGTTTTCAAATCCTTATTAGTTGATTTTAGTCAGTTTCACATTACGCAGATTCATCCCTCACTTAAAAATTGAAATGATTACTTCCTTTTCTCTTTACCATATTGGTGTCTTTGGATGTTCATAAATAACCCAAAAGTGACTGAAGACAAGTTTTAGTATATTCTTTTCTCCCTCTCCCTAGTTTCACTTGTTTGTTTCTACATTAGTTGTCTTTTTAGCCTAATGCATTGAGGCTTGTAGTTGATACCCAGCTTAAAGAGTTGATTTTTCATGATAGGTTCACAAGTGTGCAACAATTTTGCAGCAACTAGCAGCAATTTGCACTTTATCTGAGAGAACAACGTGGAAGGCTATACTTTGCTGGCAAACTCTTCATCGATGGCTGCATTCAGCGGTCTCTTTCTCCTATTCTTTTTTGCTTGCAAATTTATTTATCATGACACCTTTCAAGTTTTGTTAATTTGTTTGAGTTATCCTATATAAAGAAACCAGCAGTTAGGGTTGGATTTTCTTCTAAATTTCCTGTTTTTATGACTTAAAATATGATTGATCATCATTCTTTTTTCTCCCCACATCATTTATAACATTTAATATTTTGATTATGAAAGGTTGGAAGACATATTCCTTACCTTGCCAACTTAAGTTCCAGTTGACCTTTTTTTATCTTACTTGAATCGGCTGTGAATTTCTCTAGTGTCATATGGTCAAGATAGCCAAGTGCATATGGTTGCAGTCAGTTGATTAAGCTGCAAACAGTGAGGCATGTATAGATCAATTCATCCAAATTATAGTCCACCAAACAAACTGGAATAGGGCCTATTAATCTTCAATTATAAGTCTGAGCAAATTCAGCTGAGAGCCAAGCAACAGCTAGCTTAATCAGCTTTTTAAATGTACGGGCTAAAAGTCAATGATGCTGCTTGACTTTTGAAAATGGGAGAATGGTCAGGCCCAACTGAGTAACATGTTGGGCTATGGCATAGGCCCACTTATTGCTTTTAAGTGGTTTATTATGGCATAGGCCCACTTATTGCTTAGATCCTCCAACTCTACCTTTGGTATTCTGCCTTGAGGAATTGTCAACTTTGACCTAGGATATGAGCCAGCTCAAAAAATAGTAAGATATATTTATCTTTTTTACATCCATGTAGTGTATTTTGTAGGGGTTAGCGTGCATTAAAAATCTGAATTTACTTGACTCGCTTTCCTCTGGGCTTAATACAACCTAGCTGAAGTTTGGTTAGTTAAGATGAGACGGTAAGTTATAAATAACTAGTGATTTGATCAGTGAAAGGATTCTTCATAGAATTTATGGCACGAGAAAAGTTTTGTTCTGGCTGAATTTGGTGTACTGACTTTATAATTTTAAATACATAAACAATGGCAGGGAACTGAGGATTGAGATAGACTAGTATGTTCTTATGAATGCTTATGTTGACGTGCATGGATATGGAACTGTAGCAATCTGCTCCATGGTTTGTTCATGTTATCCATTACATCTTTAATGGTAATTGTCCTGAAAATTGATGAACAATGTAGGTTGGTTGATGTGTAGCTCAACTATGGATTTCATTGTGTAATGTGCCATTATGCTCCTATGAATTTGTGGCTTTCTTTGTGTTTTTTTTTTCAACCATTGTCCCCATTGTGGCCAGTTTGATTGACAATTTAAGTTTTCAGGTTCAGGCTCTTCCTGCCGAATACCTAAACCATGGAGAAGCAGAGGCCATAGTGCCACTTTGGTCCAAGGCCCTTGCTGACGCAGCCACTGACTATCTTGAGAGCAAGAACTCTGACGGATTAAAGAGTGATTTTGGGCATATGCAAGGGAAGGGTGGCAGAGTTTTAAAGCGGCTGGTTCGGGAATTTGCTGATGCTCACCGAAATATTCCAAATCTAACTTGAGCACTGGATGAACATTTTTGTTTAGTTTTTAACTTGTGCTTTTCAGCTTGAAGGTTAAAGAGTTCAATTCAAGAGGCAGCTTTGATCTTTCCCTAGCGGTACCTGTATCACTTGTTGTACATTGATGAGATATGTATAGATGCGTATGGTCAACTCTGGTGCCCTACTGTTTAAAATGCCTCACCATTTTCCGTTACTATTTCTCTGTATTTTTGTCCTCTGTACAGTATATGTCCACAATTTTGGCCCTCAAAAATCAGGTTAGGATAGATGCCCCTATTTTTCAAATTGTACAGGATATCCATGAAGGATCATCCACATATGGAATTAGAGATTTTGAAGGAAAGGAAATTAATGACATCCATATTCTGTAGTCATTTTCGTTGTATTACATGAATCAGCTTGAATTACTATAATAGTTTATTTTGTTGTTAAGCATAATAAATTTAGATTTCGTCACGAGATATTTCTGTTTAGTAAAATTTCAAATCTTAATTAGTAACGAGAGAATTTAAATTTAAAATAATAAAAAAAAGTGAGATTTTGGCAGTGGGGATTTTTATCGCAAGAGAATACAAGTAAAAGTTCAGTCCAGAGAATATATTTTCACTTTTTTGTGTCATAAATTGCTTATGCTTTAGAAGGTTATGCGCAACAAATATCTCTGGCGAGAGGGACAGATGAAATAAGTTGCTCTTAATTATATAACTAAACATATGTTTGATCCATCTAAGCAATTTAATTTTTATATGAAATGTGTGAATGCACGCGTGCGTGTATTTTTTTGTAAATGAGTTGCTAATATCAAAATTATAATGCCTGAATTTGACTTGAATGTTTGAGTTCAATCTCAAGCTTGAGTATGTTTGTTAAATTAAACAAGTAAATTTTATTTTATCGAACATTCAATGAGTTTAGACTTCAATGGTTCATAAATAATTTAACTCTTTACACTTATTCTCAAGTAGCAACATATACGTACATAGCCAACACACTGCACAACTTACTCCACATGGATCTATGTCATTTAATTTAGTTTCTTGATGATATTCCTCACAATAAATGGTGGAAAAGATTCATTATTTGGAGAATGGTTAGATATCAAACTTATGAAAGATACTGATTCCTACAAGGTAATTGAAGAATTTTGCTTAGGCAAGTGTAGTGCATATTTGCATCTTTATAGAATACTAATAATATAAATGATACATTTGAGGTTTTTAGAGAGAATGAGAAGATTAGAAGGAACTTACTTTTTGAAGGAAAATTTAATTTCATTCAAAACCTATCAAATACTGAATACAACCCTCCACTTATAGAGGAAGAGACTCACTACAAATAAAATTTAAACACATGTCTTGAGGATGATATTTCACCTGACTTTATCTACAATGGTACAAATAATAATTTCACATCGTATTTGATATGATAACAACACATCATCTAACTTTATCTACAATAGTATACACAATAATTTCACAAGGTATGGTATGATAATGACACCTTATGTAAAATAGCAGTTTTAGGCACAATAATTAAGATTTTCCACATTCTATATAGACATGACTGGTAAAGCTAACCCCTTAGTATGATTTGGTCAAAAGGGAAGAGGTGTATTATCTTACTTCTAACTGAGTCAAGCTCTCATAAACAAAATGATGATAAGGATGCCTAGTTGTATACATTATCTTTTTTTATCAACTCTATATTGTATTCATCTACCAAGTCTTCAACTTTATGAATTTCCTCACTTGGAACTTAGATGTCTGATGTAAACTTAAAAAAATCTTATCTCTTATGGAGAGCTGGAAGGGATTATCCTGTTGTTGAGATAACAATCATTTGGTCTTTGAGACAAACTTGTCCGATTGGGATCTGGTGGCCTAGACTGATATTTGTTAATCTCACAAAGATGCCTAGCAAGTTGGAGCCTATAATTCTAATGTAGAGGATAATATTCAAAGTTTCTCTAAAAAAATAGGCTTAATTTTTGGACCACAATTACTTGGTTGGATTTTGAAAGTAAGAATGATGAATTATAATAATTGAAGTCGAATTATTAATTTTTCATATGAAATTCCTCTGTTTTTTTTTTCAAAATCTAAGACCTTCTTCAACTTTTTTCTCCACCAAGATAATGGAAAAAATCATTCTAATAGAGTCTAGAAGAGATAATTTTCTTTGTTGTGATCTATGAGAATTTGGTATGTTATTTTGGTCTTTACAGTAATTGAAATAGAATATTGAACAATGTTACACCAGATAAGTCAGAGTGTGACTTCATAGAGATCTCATCCTAGTTCCCAAAATAACAAAAGTTCTTTCGAAATAATTTTCAAGATCAAATATCACAGTTGTATTATACTTGTATTTCATAACTTCATGTATTAAGTAAAAATAATGAGATTTAGCATACTAAAGAATATCAACAGGTGAAGTAGGTGTTAACCCTTGAGGGAATACCTTAGCGAATTTGGCTTTGGTTAGCAGAGACTTTACCATGAAGGAAAAATATGGGTCACAATAATTAATTGAATCATTTTTCCAAGTCTTGAGAGAAAATTAGGAATGAAATTCTATTTTTTTTTTAATATGTTTGACAGTGAAGTCGTACCTAGAAAACCAATATTTTAGTCTGATAATTTGAGGACCAAGATGCATCTTGTTTTTGAATTTGAGAATCTTAGGAAAAGATGAATTATCCATTTGAATCTCAAATCGAAATCCTCTTAAATGGAAATCAAACTTTTTAATTCCATTTTTAACAACCAAACCTTGAAGGTAGTGAGATAGTGCTTTTTTGCTTCTTTAAATTGCCCAATAGCATGTCCAAATTAGAGTTTTTTTATTGTTGATTTCTTCAATAAAAGCAACTTACTAGAAATGATCACTTTTGCATCAGTTTGAAGGATTCTTTTCCCTTTTGGAATTTTTAGTGATGAAGGAGTTTAAGCAATCTTTTTTAACTCTTGGATAGTTCGAGTTTGTTCTAGTTCCTATGGGGGAGGATTATTTTTCAAAAGTTTAGACAATTGACTGGTATATTTGATTGCTTAAGGAATGAAATCCATAATATAATTGAGAATTTTCAAAACTTGTTGAATCTTCTTTATCAAGGACTGATCTAGGAAATTGAGAAGTTTTTCATCTATATGAGGTTGATAATTTCCTTAGGAAAAATGCATTCCAAAAAAATCAATTTCAAATTATGACAAGTGAACTTTTTTTTCTCGTATAACATAAGGCTGTATTGATTTATTATGTCAAAAATATCCAAAAGGTTATGTAAATTCATATCTTTAGAAAATAACAAAATATCATTTATGTAGACGAGGGTGTTGTCCAAGATAGGTTCAAAGATTCCGATGACATGATGAAGGAGCTAATTTTTTTTAAACTAAATTAAACAAAGCTCCGTTAAGAGAAAGACTCATGTATCTCTAAAGCAAGTTTTAGGGAACATTTGGTGTCTTTTATTTATTCCAAAGCAACTTCTTTGACAAACTTATTAAATTAGATTTGTTTTTCTTGAGGCGATTCATTATATCGTGTAACTTTATCCACGAAAAAAGGATTGAACACTTTAAATTGGCAGATATATCCATGCATAAATATATTGTGGGTCACTTTGGTAGCATATTTTGAAAGTTACTTTTTGTTTAACTTAACTTTTTTTAAAACATGTGTGATACTGATACTCCACCTTTTATTTCATGAGATTTCTTTGATTGAAATAAAAGTAGAAATAATAATAATAATAATAATAATAATAATAGAAAAATAAAATTTGACATTTTTCCTTTGACCAATGTTTTGTATATTTATTTGGTCAATTTAGGTTGGAATTGGAGAACAAAAGGATTGAAATTTGAAATGTTAGATTTTGAATTAAATTAATAAACAATTAACTATAATATTGTCAAACGCCATTATATAAGGATAAAACAAACATGCACTTTTTATGATTTTTTTTAGTACTATCTAAAATAATCTAAGTATTTAGCATTATTATCTCTGTTACTAGTGAAAATGTCAACGCAACAATTGTTTGTAATAAATTTTTTTTTTTTAGATTTTAATTTCAACAACAAAGTTAACCATAAGCATACTCTTAGTCAGCAATGACTAGGTTAGCATAGGTAGTAGTGGTCATCATTTTTTGCAAACATTTTGACACTCAAGTGATAATTCCAACAACAATCTCTATGTTTCTTCTTGAACACAAAAACTTTGCTTATTTTATGTAAGGAAGCAGTTTTGTTAAACTTGTAATCTTCTTATGCAATCTTCTTATTCTATTTGATTGTTGAGGTGAGATACAGAGGCCATAGAGCACTCTGCTGTTACATCAATTTCAGCTTATAATTAAAATTAATCATTTATACACTGTTTGTGAAAATTTTTTTTTACACTGACAATCAATTATATCTTTTAATTGTGTCATGTCACTACATTTACTTTTAACAGTGACATGACACAATTGGTTGCCAGTATAAAAAAACTTTACACTGACAGTGTATAAGTGATTAACTCTTATAATTAATAGTCAGATCGAGACTATGCATAATTTGTTAAATTAGTTAGTTGATTTGAATAATTACATGATGACTTTAATAATATTATCAAAGTCGTCTTATTGCTATCATCGGAATTTAAACATGAATTCTTGATTAACATGAAATAATACTTTTTGAAATAGTATATATATGATTTAAAAAATACATTTTGGGAAGTATGTTTTAAAATATATTTTTAGAAATTATTTTATAAAAATATATTTTAACAAGTACAATACATGATTTTGAAAAATAGTTTATGAATATTAAAAAAAAAATTGTGATCGATCGTACTTGAAATATCAACATATTATTTTATCTTGAAAAGTCAATGAAATGTCTTAAAAAGTTCACAAATTTATTAAAAAGATAATGATAAAGATGAGGTGAAAGAATAATATTTAAAGAATCATAAGATTGAGAATACACAATAAGATTTAAAAAGTAATAGAGATATAAATATATCAATCACCATATAGAAATCAAAAAGGAAAAAGTGAAAAAGAAAATTCAATAAAGAGTAATGAGTGTTACAGAAAGATAGTTCAAGGAAGAGAAGTGAATAAAAAGATAATTTTTAAAAATAAAATTTATTTTAAAAAGAAAATAAATATATATATATATATAGAAAAATTGAGAGAAAAAATAACGTATTTATCATAACAGGGAAATGTAAATATCATTTACCTAAGAAATAATCAAAAACAGGTTAATCTCAATGCATTTTTTATTTTATTTTATTTTATTTGGCTAAAGATAGGGTGTATTGACTCATTATTTTTTTTAATATAGTTAGATTGACCAATTTTACTTCCCTGCATTATAGACAATGCAAATGAAATAAAATATTGGCATAGTTTGGAAAACAAGACTTTGCTGCAACTGAACACCTTGTGATCTCAGTAATAAATTTTTCATACTTAGAAAGGAGGGAAAAATGCACAAAAGATGCCATAATCTATAATAGTATTGTTCAATTAATTATAGTCGACCTATTTCGACCTTCGTTCCTTTCATAAAATATGAGAAGTGATCGATTTCACAACGCATAAATTCCAAGATATCAATGAAAGTTATGTGGTTGGCTTTCTCTATAATTTGTTATAGCCTATAGGGAAGTAGACTAGGCACAACTCAAGCAAAATATGTTCAAAAGTGAGGCTGCAAATATGCAGTTTATGGCAAAAGAAGAATGAAAGATAGAATTGTTTATTATTTATCACATACACCAACATCCCCAAAATTTGTCCTCACTTCTCATTGGCTAATATACCCATTACATTAGAGTGCATTGCTAGCAATTCTCCTTGTTACTATGATAACAAAGTTTTGTGCTTCAAGAATCTGCAAGTTCTATAAGTTGATTGACCACATTTGGATCTGCAAGGGTACTTGTATCCCCAAGTTCATCCAGCTGCCTGGAAGCAATTTTCCTCAGAATTCTTCGCATTATTTTTCCACTCCTTGTTTTTGGGAGGCCAGGTGCCCAATGAATTTTGTCAGGTGCTGCAAAAGCTCCTATCTGAAATATTAAACAAAACAGTAAAAATCAAATGTAATACATTGTATTTTGAAAACCGAACTGGTAAGTCCGACCGGAAACCGGTGACCTCACCGGTTTAATTGAACCGAAAAACCGGCCTAACAAAAAATCAGTCAAAGAATCGAAAAACTGAGAAGACCACTAAAAACCGGTTTGCAGCAGGTCAATAATTAGAAAATAAAATCAACCAAAAGTATTTATTATTTTCTTTACTATTCTAAATATAAACTTGTTATTATTCATAAATATTGATGTCTATTGTTAAAACTTGATTAAACTATTTTAATATATTTAATTTGAACACTAGTTTATACTTTAAGTTTTAAGATAAAATGTATGTTGTTTTTAATATATTTAATGTTTTTAATATTATTTTATACATTATTTAATTATTATAATTAAACTATTGAATCTTAAATCAGTATCTTCTAATTGATGACTGATCTGGATAAAAAAACATTGGTAATGCATGATCGACCAATTAGGACATCGAAAGTCAGCCTGATTAAATATAGAACATCTTTGTTACCTTGGCTCTTTATTGAGAGGTAAAAAAAAAAAACTGGGAATCAATGTAAGCACTGAAAAAATATTATTGATACATATAAAGCTGCAGGATGAGGATGATGATGATTGGTGATGACAAGTTATAATGTAGAACATGTTAGCTCAAGAAGAGACTTAAAACATTATCTAAGGTACCACTGGATCCACATATTATTTACTAAGGGAACCAACAATAAAAATTGAGATTTCAGGACATCTTTTCAGTTGTTCTGTTCTCAATGAAATGATAAAATTCCCATCAATATCTTAAACGACTAATAACACTAGGAGTTCAAAGGGGCCAAAACCTGGTCAATCTAGGGTGCAATGTAACTACAATACAAAAGCCATTATTACACTGGTAGTGGCGCAGACAAATGTGATCTTTTTTCCAGAAAAGAGTGGAAAGGAAACAAAGAATAATAACTCAACAAAGTAATTATCCTGAGAATTTATCAAGGCACAATAAGAACTTGTTTGAATACAAGCTTATAAGTACTTTTGAGAACTTTTCTACTAATAAATACTCTTTAATTTCAATAGAGAAATTTTCAAAAGCGCTTTTAATTTATATCTAAACAGATTCTAGTTTCATGTTCTCAGCTTTGAAGTAGATACCTGCTTTCGAACCATGAGTACGAGGTCCTTCCGCAGTTGTTCACTGTAAGGAACACCATCCACAACTGTAACAAATGCATAGATACCTTGTCCTTTGACCTACAAAAGTAATGGTAATTGATTCAGATACAGGAAGCAATCGTTTAGTGATGATGCTATACAGAAACTTTACTTGATTTCTTTCATACAATAAAAACATACTTTATGACTCACACATAGAGAGAATATTATACAATCATACCTCATGCTCCACACCAACCACAGCAGCCTCTGCACATTGAGGATGTGAAACTAGAGCTGATTCCACTTCTGCTGTGCCAATTCGATGCCCACTGCATATATAACATGATTATATCAGACTGGTACATCAAACAGAATATAACTGCATAGGAGACAGAACCTGTTTGTTCATGTTTAAATGCTTACATCTATAAAAAAGAAATTGTAAGATTGAGGAATCATCAGAAGGAGCTTTGGAAATTTAAAGAATACCTGACATTGATGACATCATCAACTCTTCCAGTGAGCCAATGGTATCCATCTTTATCCCTGAAACAAAGTTAAATGAGTACATCATAATTACCCCACACATTGTTCCATGTTATGGTATTTCCTGCATTTGAGGTGAAACTATGGAAATTTAACTCACCAAGGCCAAACTCAAATTCAAAGATTACTATACAAGAATCACTGGCAAAATATGAGCATCTAATGTTAGTAAAACACTAACCTGCTGCAACCATCGCCACTGAAATAGTATCCCGCAAATGGCTTGAAATATGTTGTTTCATATCTTTCATGATCACCATACAGTGTTCTGAATGCCCCAGGCCATGATTTCTTAACACACAAATATCCACTGCACTCACCTTCTATTTCAACACCTTTCTCATCCACAATGACAGGCTAAAGTTACAAAGAAGTTAGTCAGTGATGAAGGCAAGGTGAAATAGTAACATAGAAGTAAAACAAATTTATATTAAATTATAAAATGAGCATATAAGGTCAGCATAAAAGACCTGAACTCCAAAGAAGGGGAAAGTTGCAGAACCAGGTTTTTGTGGCCAAGCTCCTGGTAATGGAGTTATCTGCAAGCAACAACAAAAATTAGAACTGCAAAAACATAATAAGCTTCTCCCCCCTCTCTCTCTCATGTGTGTGTGATGACAACTTGACAAGAGTTGAACCTAAGACTACTATACAAAACCCAACTCTCCATTGCCCCTTGAGCTGTGCACACGGGGAATGCAACATAATAACTGTCACTAATGGAATGAACCTATATTACATGTTCAGTGCAAGCCATAAGAACCAAATTTAATACACATAATCATTGGAAGCTACAATACCATGAAGCCACCAGTTTCTGTTTGCCACCAAGTGTCAGAGATAGGGCACCTTGAATCTCCAACGACATTGTAAAACCACCTGAAAAAGAAAAAGATCAAAGAATGCATCAGTGTTCTTTGAAACAGAAAATTATGTAGAAATTAGCTAGGAAAAATGCAGATAACAACCTCCATGCACTTGGATTTATGGGCTCGCCTACACTTCCTAGGACTCTTAAAGATTTCCTTGAGTAGCGAGTAACAAACTGCATGAATTACAATGGTTTGAGTGAACAATAATTAAATTATGAATGAATGGAACTCTACACTCTTGCATCAGACAGTTCCCTTCTTCTATCACTATGTTAGATATTCTAGTTGCAAAATGTTAATATAAACTACAAGTTTTATTCCTATATAAAACACAAAGATATCAATTTTACATGAAGATGCACCTAATCTGAATAATTAATGGCCTATTTTGTTTGAGAAAGCATTTTTTTGTTTTCATTTCCTGTCTTTTTCTTTTTGTTTTGAAAGATTTGTACAGGAAACAATGTAAACGATATTTCCTCAATACAATAACAGTTCACTTCTTTGAAAATTGCAACAATACTAAGTTTCTCCGACATCCAAACTGAAACTAATTTGAGATATGGCCAGAGGAAAGCCAAAAGAGATGAGATGTGCTGGGTTGTATACAGAAGCATTTATTCATGGTTAAATAATTTTTCATACAGAAATACCAACACTGGCAACACATAATAGAGGTATTTTACCGCATCACCATCACGCATGAGGGACCGCACCAATGTGGGGGCAGTGTAGAATATTGACACTTTAAATTTGTCAACAATGTCCCAGCATCGCCCAGCATCAGGATAATTAGGAGCCTGCATTCATGTTGATATCAGATTTGAAGTGAAGTATTTTAAAGCAATTCCATGACTCGTAGTTTTCTATATATGAACTCAACATGCCAATACTATGATGTCGCTGGAAACCACTCTACTTTAATTTATAAATCCTGTAAATATATTTTTTTAAAAATATGTTGCCAAGACAATTTGTGCATCCCCAAAGCTCTGTATGAGGGAATCAAAATAACAATGTATGTAACCACAGCCTAGACAACCAACTGATCAGGCATTAATCATTGACCTCTTGTTAATGAGGCCTTAAACTTCTCTCCAACAACTATTGGTACGTGAAGTACTTAAAAAGCATTTTAAAAGTTCATTATGTTTTTTTCTGCTCAGCAACTATTCTGTGAGCTGAAAAAAAAAATTCTATCTTAAAACAATATATATTCAATGATGTAACACATTCTGTGTTTTTTTTTTTCTGTTTACTAGAATTTGTAACCAAAAAGCAATGTCCAAATAATTTTTCCCACTAATTGGGGAGTTGGCTACATGATCAAATAATGCTGTTGAGTCCAATCAAACAACAAGTCTTCAGAGAAGCAATTTGATCCAAGTGTTTTATACTGGTTTCCCCAAGTTTTCTTGATCTTCCTATATTGCTAATAACCTGACCTCCATCTGTTCAACTGAGCTTCAATCGGTCTTCTTATCACATGGTCAAACCACTTTTTAGAATTCGCTAATTAAATTGTAGAAATATGAATATATGGTTCACTTAGTCTTTTTGGTTCCACTGATAACATGTCACTTGGATTCATTTTCTTTAGCACTTCCATGCAATGCATTGTACATGATCAAAACTGTTTAGGGTTTAAATTTATTACCCCTTCATACACAACAACAGACGCACCATTGAGCATGGGTCCATAAGTGACATAGCTGTGTCCAGTAATCCAACCACAATCAGCTGTACACCTGTAGTCAGGGTATAAAGTAGTTAAATAAGAGTAGTGAAGCAGTTTTTATCAAGAACATGACAAAGATAAAAAAGGATAGAAGATAAACTTTCAAGGATACCAGTAGATGTCAGACGGCTTGTAGTCAAATGCATACTTAAACGTTGTTGCAGTGTACACCATGTAACCACCAGTTGTATGGAGGACACCCTTTTAGGAACATATATTAGAAAGCAACAGCCTCAAGTAAAGAAAGGAAGAAGAAAGAAATATGACTCGAAGTAGAGCAGTAACAGCATACAAATACCTTAGGTTTTCCTGTACTCCCACTTGTATAGAGTAGAAAAAGTGGATCCTCTGCATCAACCCACTCCACTGGACAAGAAGTTGGATATTGAGGAACAACATCCTGCAAAACCAGAAAAGGTAGCCAAAAAATGGTTTAAAAAGTGTGGAATTTTATCATAATTATGGATAACCATGAACTATGAAAACATATTTAGCACCGCTAAACATAAATCAGGATTCATAGCAAATCTTATCATTTAACACTAATTAATCTGTTTGAAATAACTGAAGAAATTCAGACTGAAACAATTATGTAACTAATTCTTAGGCATGGCATGGCATGGCATGTAGACATTTTGCAGAGTACCAAAAGTATAATTCATGATTCTACAGTGAGCTAACCATGTGAGAGTTTATATGCAATTGGGGGGATACTTTTCTATACCAACCTGCCACCATATATCACGCCCTTCCTTCCATTTTGTATCTTCCCTCTTCATTGCCAATGGGTTGTCATAAACTAGGCATACATCTGTTTAGAAAAGAAAAAAAGAATAAGACCAAAGAAAATAATAAAGCGAACATAATGAACTAAAGATTAAATTGGATGCAGCAAATACAAAACAAACACTAAAGGTACCAAAGATATGAACTGAATTATATGCTACAGCCAGTTTTTCTGACGTGATGAAACAGGAAATATGAATAGCACCCAGAAGCCTATGATGTTTACTGACAAACTAAAAAAGTCAAAATAGAGTACTCATTTTATATTAAGTGTTTGACCTGTACAGTATCTACATGCTTGTAAGCTCCACTTTTGTCTCCAATCATAAACTCTGTAGGTGGTGCGTTATATTAGCTATATTGATCTCTCTCCTTCTCAGTGTTTGAATTTTAATCAGCATACCATAACATCACTATATTTATTGGAGAGATTATATCACTGAAACTTTAAACAAATGAATGACATTCCCACCTATAGAGACCCCATTTTGGGCTGAATCGTTGATTGCAGCATCAACAATATCTTTCAGATATATAGGCTTAGGGCCCCTTTTAACAGCATTGCAAGTAATTACAGCTTTTGGTTTACAATCAGTGATTCTCTGGGCAAGAGCTTCTGCGGAAAAACCGGCAAATACAACCTAAACAAATAAAAAACCTAACAGTATTAACTCAAAAAACAAGTGAAACATGTCCAGCAATCTGGTAGTTTTGACATGACTAAAGAAAAAATGGTGGACAAGATTTGTAAGTTGTTCTATGATACCGAGTGAACTGCACCAATGCGAGCACAGGCAAGCATTGCAATGGGAAGCTCCATAAGCATGGGCAAATAAATAATTACAGCATCTCCCTTCTTCACACCAATATCTTTCAAGTAGTTTGCAAGCTGAAACAAGAAAAGCAACAATCATTCTGCCAATTCCCATTTTGTTTGCACATGTTAAAAAAAAAACATTATCACCCTTCAGCTTGAACATCTTCTTTGTATGCAAAGAGATGAAATTCAAACCTAACCTGGCAAACTTGATGGAGAAGCTGACTGTATGTCAAAGTACCATCCAAACCAGGCTCATTGCCTTCCCAGTAAATGGCTACCTTGTCACCAAGTCCAGCTTCAACATTTCTATCCAAGCAATTATAACAGATGTTGGTGATGCCACCCTTGAACCACTGACGCAATGCAACAAATGAACACAGACACACAAGTTACAAACACACTAAGCCTCTGAACAAACACCAACAGAAGGAAAAATGAAAACAAGATACAAATGGGACAATGGAAACCAATCAATTACCTCAATCTTGATATTCCCTTTCCTAACATCAAAATTTTCATCACACACTTTTTCTCCCCATTTCTGTTTCCAGTAGAACTCTGAGGCAATCTCAGACCAGAATCCAGCAGGGTCCTCAATCGATCTCTTATACATCTCTAGATACTGGTAGATCACAAATCACACACACACATAAAAATAAAAAAAATAAAAAAAAAAATCAATTTTCAAATATTCTAATACAAAGAGTGACACCCAGAATTTTTTCCCCCTTTCATTTGTTAACAAATCAAAATCATTTAATCAAAATTTCAACACCGATCAATGTAAATAGTCTGAAACCTGTTCTGGGGATTGAACATTGGCTTGGCTAGAAAAGTCCTCACTTGGAAGAACGAAATCATCCTCTTCAGTGGCGAGAGATTCACCAAGTATCACAGCGTTCAAGTGTGAAATGTGGCCAGCACCTGATGGATGAAGCTTCATTGATTCCACGTGGCGCAGGAAATTGTTGGTCCTCAAATTTGAAGCCATGATGATAGAGTTTTCCCTCTTCCTTCTCCTCTTGCAATTCCAAAACAGAGAAGCAGAAGAACGAGACTTATTCAGAGTGAGATCCAACGCAAATGGGTGCAGAGGGTCACAGAAAAGTCCACCCAGATGAACAGAGACTGAGTTATAGTACACAGGAGGAATCATCCTGACATGATGTCAAAGATATATAACAATATAATTAATAAAAAAATATTCTAAGAGTCGCAAAATGATAGAAATTAAATAATCTTTAATTGCTTTGCCTAATTATTCATTTAGATGGTCAAAATCACAGGACCACAGGGAAACAAGAAAAAGTTTTCTTTTCTTCTAAGTGCCATTTGGTAGATTTGATCCTCTCACACACACACTCTCTCTCTCTCCTGATTTTGATATTGTTTTGTCATAATTTTGATTGGAAACTGTTTTGTACCCCAACCTTTTTTTTTGGTGTGTTTCAAAATTCCAATTTTGTTTTCTTGAGTCTCAAAGAAAGAGGAAAAGAGTATCTTTTTGTTTCAGTCAAAAGCACTGTGATTCAAGCAAGAACAGAAATGATGATAACAATACCAATTTGTTTTTGTTATGATCCCAAATAGTCAGAGAGGCGGCATAGATGTTGCGTAGGTAACGTGATTACGTGGAGAAATAAAAATAAAATAAAAATAATAAATTATTTTGTGACAGAAAATCAAAACAAGAAATCAATGGAATCGCTTCAGAGAGATAATGTTGTTTTTTTAATATTTGTAAAAATAATAATAAGATAACATTGTGCAAATGAGATAGACTTAACAAAAAAAATGTGACATTTTTTATGGGAACTATGCTGGCAGGTGTTAGCAATAAAAAGAATTGAATTGAAAGGAAATAAAATAAAAACAGAGACTAACTTGAACTAACTGAATTCCCACAAAAGACTGAGAGAAATGTTGCAAGACAATACGAGGTGGCACTAATCACGACGAGACAGAAGGTGTTGGCAGGTTTGGATTAGCCTCTCTCAGATGATTCGATTAAATAGGTCTCATCTTGAAACATGGTGGATTTATGATTTAGATGTTTTTGATGGTTATGTGGTTTTTGATTGGATTGGGTAGCACTAGTATTAGCACCTTGCCGGCAGTTTAGTTCCCTGGTTTGGACTTTGTGGCAACTCATTTCTGTTTTTTTTGTTGTTGGATACCAACTCATATCTAGCAAGTTATAAAGCATAGTGTTGTCCCCAGTTTATCCTATGGCTGTGTATGGTATTTCAGCTCCAATGCACTACCAAATTCTAATTTTCTTTCTATTTTCTCCTATGATAATACACTAGCTAATTTCTGTAACATTTTTCGTGAATTATCAACATTGAATTTGTATTCATGATGAGTGTAGGAATAATACAGAGAGTGGAAAAGTTTGAAGAAGAAAAATTCTTAAGGGTCAATTAAGGTATATTAGCCGACACAACACACGGGTGAAAGGATCGAATGTATTTTTTCATGTATACGGAATTTAAAATTTAATTGCACATTTTAAGTCTTTTTAATCATGCTTATTAGGATAAATATTTATTATATATAACTGAAATTTATTATAAATTATATATACAAATGGATATTATATTTGAATATATAAATCATATTTAAAATATTTATTTATTAATAACTTATTTTAGAAATTAAAATTTAATTTATAAATAATTATGATAAATAAAATAAAAATTAAAAAATTTCTAAAATCTTTCTTATTAAAAAAATACATTATCATTTAAGATAAAGATTAATATTTAATATATAGAAATTCATCTTATAAATTTGGTTTTTTTTAATTTTTTGAGAACTTAATTTTTACTAATTTAATTATGTAATGATTTAATTATGTAATGTTAATTTACACTCTAGATTGACATCTAATATTTAATAAGAGACGAAAAAACTTCTTTTGTATATATATATAGCTCATTCATTATCAACAGTAGTAATTTTGTTTGAAATGGAAAGGATCTTATAAACATTATAATTTTTCATTTGAATATTTAACACAGTTATATATTAAAATTTAAATTTAATTTAACCAACTATTTTTCCTCTTAATGTTAATTTTTGTTTTTATATATGTGTACTTGCTTAAATAGAATAAATTGTTAGAATTTTTTTTAACAATCACGGATTAGATAGTAAATTTTATGAACAAAAGTAATATAAGATTTATTACCCACCATGTGACGAACAACTTTTATTAATTTTTACTAGAGTTTGGAATTTAATTTAAGAAGATTAAAAATTTTATATATATTTATTTTAAAATTACTAATAATTAATATTTTATTATGTGATTACAGTTTTTTATGTTAATATTAAAATTTCATAAATATTTATATAAGAAAATATTAATATATTTTTCTGTGAATTTTGTGAGACCCTACCTTTAGCTGACCACACTTCCCCTCCCAACTCTCACTCTAACTCTCCCTTTCACTCTCTTTTCTCCCTCCATTCTCATTTTGGCTGCACTTTGGTTTCTTGGATTCAAGGTGGTGGTGTGGAGTGATTAAGGTTGCTAGCTGAACATTTGGGGTTCCTCTTCTTCTCCGACTCTTCTCTCTTCTCCATTCCTCGATCGTCTCTTCCCGGAGGCTCGGATTTCTTCACCGAGGTAAGGGAAGTTAGTATTTTGCTGCGCTTTGGCTGGGAAACGGGTTTATGAACCCTTTTGGCTGTTGGGGTTTTACTAAGTGTGGCTGAGCTTGCTGAAAATTTGGGGTTTTGGGGGGTTTTGTGGTTTTAAGTCAAAATTTGGGATTTGCTTCGATTTGTTGTTGCATGCACATAAAGCTGATACTTTCGAACTCCTTGTTGAAAATGTGACACTTTGAACCGTTTGCATGTGGTTTTTCTGGTAAGATTTGCAAGTTTTCAGCAATTTTCGAACTTGGGGAGAGTTACTGATGAGTTCGCGCTGGGCGCTGTTCTTCGCGCCCGGCGAACCACCACCAGGAGACTCTGTTTAGGCAAGCCCGCCGGGCGCAAGGCTGTGTGCGCTGGGCGAGCTTGTAAATGAGAGTCTCTGGTTGGCACGCGTCGGGCGTGAATCGAGCTGCGCTGGGCGCGATATCAAGAGTAACATATTTTGGGATACTTGGTACCGCGCTAGGCACATGTTTGGACTCGCTGGGCGCGGAGGCTCCTTGGGAGTCTCTGCCAAGAGCACGCCGGGCGCGAGACCTTGGTAGGTCTCTGCCTTCCCCACGCTGGGCGCGGGTTAGGCCCCGCTAAGCGCAAGAGACTCCTTGAGTCTCTTCCAGGCAGGCGCTGGGCGCAATTTGGAATTGCGCCAGGCGTGGGAGAGCCTTGGTGCTCTCGGGTTGAGTCTCGCCGGGCGCGAGTACTCCTGCGCTGGGCGCGCTGGCCCTGGTGCTCTCGGGTTAAGCCGCACTGGGCGCGACCTCGAGTACGCCGGGCGCGCAAGGAGATGATGACCTATATGATGTTGGTTGTTGAATTGTGCCGAGATTGTTAATCAATGATGTTATATGCTGAACCAAGTTGTATTTGATGAATATGTTGTGATGACTAGGAGATAAATATGTTAGCTGTATTAGAGGTGTATTGTTGAGCTGGAATCAATGGATTAATAAGTGAAATTTATAGTATAGCGGAATTATAGACTGTTGGGCTGAATTGTGGAAAATAATAATTGTGTTGAATTGTTGCGTTGTGTTGTGTTGTGTTGTGCTGTGTTGTGCTGTGCTGTGCTGTGTTGGGCTGTGCTGAGTTGTGTGATATTATAGCCGCTAAGTCGGTGCTGTTGTTAGCCACATATGTGGTACTGATTCTAACCGCTAAGGCGGTGCTGTTGTTGCCGCTTTGCGGTGCCGTTATAGCCACTCGAGTGGTGCTGTTGTTGCTGCTAAGCAGTGTTGATATTGCCGCATTGCGGTGCTAGTATTGTTGAGTGGTATAAGCTGTACAAGTGTGCTGATAACTGTATCTGTTGTTTATTTATATTGATATATATTTATGTTGAATTTTAATTACACTAGCTTACCCTTTTGTTGTCTCCATGATGTTGGACTGCAATGATCATACTATGTATGGGAGCAGAGCAGGGATAGGTGGGTGTCTGGTGGTGAGTCTCCGGTGGACTCGTGGAGCTGATTGCTTTTGTGATTATTTTGCTGTGTAGCTACTTGTGATAGTAGCATTTGATTGTAATTTCTTTTGTACACTTTAACTCTGTTCAGACTGGATCATGTATATATATATTCTAGACTCTATATGTATACATTTGTTCTCTTCTGCGTGGTGTTTCTAGTGTGCTGTTCCGTGTGTAGTGACCAGCCAGGTCGTTACACTTTAGTGGTATCAGAGTAGGTCGAGTCTAGTGGACACTCTTTGGGGGTGGTCCCTTTAGGCTTTTTGCTGTGTTAACTCTGTGCTGTGTTGTTTTGCTGTGATGTCTGCTGTGCTGAAATTGCTGTGATGATTTGTTGTGCTACTGATTGTTGTGTGGTTTAGTTATTGTTTACTAAAGATGTTGTTACTTTTGTAGACGATGACTAGGACCAACGAGCAGATAGCCCGTGCCATAGAGATGATGGCCATGGCTATGCAACAGCAAAATGCCTATTTTGCTAGGATGGAGGCTGAGAGAGCTGCAGCTGGTGCAGCAAGACCTACAGGGTCACAGGAGAGTCGGGATCTTGCTGAGTTCCGGAAGTGTCATCCTTCACAGTTTGCAGGAGATGCGGATCCAGAAGTAGTTGATCGCTGGATCCGTGAGCTAGAGAAGATCTTTACTGTACTGGGATGTCCTCCAGAGAGGAGGTTAGCATATGTTGTGTACATGCTTATTGGGGAGGCTGAACATTGGTGGAGAGGCACATATCAGATGCTTGCTGCTAGAGGAGTTACGAGTATTGGAGATTTTGAAAGCAAAGGTAAGCTTTCAAAATGTGAGTTCTGGTTGGATGAGGTGAAGTTCTTGGGCCACGTGATTTCAGCTGAGGGGATTGCTGTTGATCCGGCTAAGGTGGAGTCGGTGTTGCAGTGGGAGCGCCCGAGGACTGTCACGGATATTCGGAGCTTCGTGGGCTTAGCGGGTTACTATCGGAGGTTCATTGAAGGATTCTCTAAGATAGTAGCGCCTCTGACCCAACTGACTAGGAAGGAGCAGTCATTCATTTGGACAGATGCCTGTGAGCAGAGTTTTGTTGAGTTGAAGATGAGGTTAACTACTTCTCCTGTGCTGGTGTTGCCAGATTTGGGTGAGCCTTTTGACGTGTATTGTGATGCTTCTCATCAGGGTCTGGGGTGTGTGCTGATGCAAAATAGGAGAGTGGTGGCATATGCTTTAAGGCAATTGAAGATTCATGAAAGGAACTATCCTACCCATGACTTGGAGTTAGCAGCTGTGGTGTTTGCCTTGAAGATCTGGAGGCATTACTTATATGGTGCCCGGTTCAGCGTCTTCAGTGATCACAAGAGTCTGAAGTACTTGTTTGATCAGAAGGAACTGAACATGAGGCAGAGGCGGTGGATGGAGTTTCTGAAGGATTATGATTTTCAGTTGATGTATCATCCGGGCAA